ATTTAACAATCTCATTTCATTTTTTTATTATTTTTACATGTAATAATGTTAAAATATGTCTGAGTAAGTTATTAGGTTTGAGGTTCAAATTCATATGTTTTATGTGTTATTACTTTAATTATAAGTAGAGACACTAGATAACAGGGTGACATTCACAGGTATGACGAGCAGGTGAGATGAGATGTGCACTGGAGCAAGAAGACGTGAAAAAAATAATCACTGACCAATCGACTAATTAGGAAAATAATTGCAGATTAGTCAATGATCATAATGGTCATTAGTTGCAGCCCTAAAGTCTGGTTTATACTTTGAGTAGTACGTCTCGTTCCCCCTGCTGAGGGCCGGTGACAGCCGTGGTGTGCATCGCCCCCAGTCTCAAATCTGCGGACTTTGCGGCTCGGAGCGTGTGATTGGTTAGAACTTCGTGGATGTGTTTATTCATGAGGAACACTGCAGCAGGACTCCGATCAGCTCTGCTTTCTGCTGGTTATTTTGTTTGAAGTAGTTTTTTTCTGAAGCCTGTTGTTTAAAGAGCTAAAAGAGCAGCTTTTCCATCACCACCGTTGACCAAAAAAAAAGTTTTTCCTCCTCTTCATGCAACACAACATTGATCATTGAGTGATTAAAAATCCAGCCATCATTATTGCTGTTTATCTACTTATATGAGCTGTGGGAGGATCTATGATAATTTATGTCTTCAGCCCGTTTATACTCACTCAGGTAAAAGACGTCCAAAGTAACGCTATCACCATCCCGCTCTCTCACGTCGTATTAAAGTGTAATCCAAGCCTAATAGAGACATAACCTAAACCTTCCAATGACAGAGAATGTCAGGTGATTCTGCTGTATCAAAAGTTACCAAACAGGTGATGTTTGAGTCTGTGGAACATTGAAACTTGTAGTCCTCACTGCTGTCACTGTGTTTGCAGGGCATGTTTAACACAGTGCTGGAGGTGGCTAAATTTGAAGGCGCCTCAATCCGAACTGTGTCAGGGATCAGAGGTCAGATTAAGAAGGCTCTGTCAACACCGCTGGGGGCTTTTAGAGCCACGTTTGAAGACCGTCTGTTAATGAGTGGTAAGTTTGTTTTCTCACAGTGCAATGAAAGTCCTGTTGTTTACAACTCCCTGTAACTTACACCATAAAATAATTGAAAAATCTTGTGGTATAAAGTAAACATCAATTAAGACTATAAAACAGAATAAAAAAATGAAGAAGAAAAAATAGAAAATTGTGCTACCCTTTGCAATTTAGTAAATCACGACAAAGTATCAAGATAATGTAAACATGAAGATTGGAGACAACAGTCCAACAAAGTCCATTAATTAATTCAAGTAGCACAGTAAAAAAAACAAGATAAAAGTAATAATCAATATGTACCAGGGTGTACGCTAGTTCTTAAAAGTCTTAAATTCATGTATCTATAATTAAGACCTTGAAAAAAATCTTGAATTTGTTTTGAAAATGTGCAAGTTGGTCATAAATATTTTACTCAAAGGTCTTAAAGGGATCCACGATTAGTCGTTACATTAAACTTTATTTGATAAACATTTATTTTCACTGTAAAATAAAGACTGTAAAAATACTGTAGCCTGTTTAGTAAATTTTTTAAAATATATTTTAACATGGACAGAGCCATTTTATTTGCACACAAAGCATTCTGGGTAAATGATGACGTGGATAGGTCCTCGGTGCGAGGCTGCTAGCGAGCTATATCCACCCTGAAGGTTAATCTTGGACAATATCTGATGATCGACTCTTTTAAATGAAACCAGAGAGCGTTGACAGAGAGGAGAAGGTAGAAATGACTCAGCCTGGAACTGAAAATATGGATGGAGGACAACAGAGCTGCTTCATGGAAGAACAACCTCAGCTTAGCCTGTTAGCTTTAGCGCCAACGCTATATGCATTAGCTTGGCGCTAGCGTGACAATCTAAGAAGCTAAACTGAGGTCCTCCATCTCCTAAAATCTCCTAAAACCGTCAATTCTAAACATAAAGAAAACAGATGATTTTTTTAACTAGATTGATTGGCGTATGTTCACATAAAAATTTGCAAACAATATTCGATTCTTGATTCATGTCATCCTTTGAACAATTTTTGTTTTGTTTCTCAACTAAGTTTGTCAAGTCCTCAGAAGCTTTGAGGGACAGGCATTGGTTGGGGATGTGGATGCATGCATTTGGGACTTGGACCCCCATTGTAACTGCTTGCAGTTCTAATTTTTGACGTTTTTGCTGTTATTTTTGTGTAGACATTGTGTTCCTTCGCTCCTGGTATCCAGTGTCTGTTCCTCAGCTTTACAACCCAGTCACCTCCTTGTTGCTGCCTCCCAGTCAGAAGGACAACTGGTCTGGCATGAGAACCCTGGGCCAGCTCAAACATGACCTGGGTATCCGCAACAATCCCAACCCTGACTCTCTTTACAAGGTAGAGCACACTCGGCCTGCCACAGCTTCAAACACATGAAGTAATGTGTTTTTWTATACCTGTGGTATAAAATATGGTATAATCACCATGTGTGTAAGTTAGCAAACGTTCTCCTGTCCCATCTATAACTTTTGATCCACTCAAGATAATTTAATGAAACTTCATAYAGGATMTTCATCATTACTAGATGGAGTGTCACACACATTTTTCACAACTAAATACATTTATATCCCCTTTAAGGAGCCCTGTGACAAAAACACAGACTGTGACAGTTTCAGTTTGTTTACTGAACTTTAGCACAAAATACAGGTTATTAGTGTGGTGAGTGACCGTGTTTTTATAATAAATTAGTATTATAAACCTAAAACCTGACACATATATATTATCACACTTTTTAATGGCACATTTTTCCTAACCATTGAAAAAATGGATGAAATAAGGAATATGAAACATATAAAATTCATGTAAAACATACTGAGTTTTTTAAAATTAGATATTTTGGAGAAAAAAGGGCTATATATCGCTTTGCTTACAGTATCGCAATATGATAACTACAGTGGAGAAAATAAGTATTAGTTCCCTTGCTGATTTTGCCCACTTACAAAGACATGAACAGTCTATTGTTTTAAAGGTAGGTTAATTTTAACAGTGAAAGACAGAATAATTTTTTTAGAAAATGACATTGTATAAAGT